TTAATATGTTCAAACGTAATATGTGTTTGCATAGTCATAAAATAATTCCACGAAGCTGTATTCAATGGTTTGGTATTTTATTTATTTTTTTAAAGAAATTTGTTAGTCCTTGTGTGTAACAAATGATGAAAAGTAAATTTTGTACTTCTAAACGTGCCAAAATAATTTAAACTGTGTTAAAATGTTATTTATTATCAGTTTTCTTTTTCTTTCCCTTTTAATCAAAGAATCGCGATTTATTATTGTATCCTTGAACGAGTATCGCTCAGTGTATCGGATCGCCACTTTAGGAATCGTTGCAGTCCTACCTTTGTCTTTATCAAAATAAGACAATAAATTCTATTAAAACAATATGAAGAATAGTTTCTGAAGGTCCATGTAATTAGTAATATCAAATTAATAAAATATTTTTATCATCAACTTATCATATGAGATATATATTTTTTAATAATCACTGAGTATTAATAACTATTTTTATAAAATCTATTAATTTGTTCTCAATGAAGGCACACTCACCCTGTCATTATCCAAAATTAAAGTTGATTTATCATTGAAAAATATGTAAAGTTTTGATTGTCTGACACAAGTTCAGTTGATATATATATAGATTGTAATGTCTGACAATATTACAGTCAATGTTAAGGTAAAGTTTTGTTTGTCTAACACAAGTTCAGTTAATATATATATAGATTGTAGTGTCTGACAATATTTCAGTCAATGTTAAGGTAAAGTTTTGATTGTCTGACATAAGTTCAGTTGATATATAGGTACAGATTGTATATAAATGAAATGAAATGAATGGAGTTTTACATCCTACTTTTCTGCACCATGTGGGCTAATGAAGACGGGCAATGCCATGCAGGGTGCAATGAGGGAAATTTTGCCAGGACAGCGGCATTAGCCTGCTCTTTTTCGATTTCCAACTGTCGAGGGATCTTTAACGTGCACAGCCTGTAGCACACGGGGCCTCGGTTTATTGTCCCATCCGAACGACTAGACACTTTTTCCATGTCAGCCCCTCGTACCTGCATCACTGACAGGTATTATCTCGACATATACCGGGATTGAACCTTGGACCTTCAGGTTAGCGAGCAAACATCTAACTCCCTGAGCCACCGCGGCTCCCTAGGTATAGATTGTAGAGTCTGACAATATTTCAGTCAATGTTCAGGTTTTGATTGTCTGACACGAGTTCAGTTGATATATAGGTATAGATTGTAATGTCTGACACTAGTTCAGTTGATATATACAGGTATAGATTGTAGTGTCTGACAATATGAAGGTAAAGTTTTGATAATACTTCATAATAAAGTTTTGAATTTGAGACTGAATTTTGTTCCTGGGTAATATTTCAGCTTACTTTTTACATTACCATTTTAATAGACTTGTGATGGAAAGATAATATATCTGTTGACTAAATCAAATGCAACTCTTGTTAATGAACTTTGAGTAGAGAATATTCTGTTTATGAATTATTTTTCCTTTTTTCTTTACGGAGAAAAGCCTTTCATTCATTCCAAACTAATTACAAATGAATCAACTTAAATAGAAATAACACATGCTTTATTTTTGGCAAACAGATTTTCATATGTCCAGCTGAAAACACACAACAAAGTCCTGTCTAAAGACAACATATACTGGGTTTTTCAAATTATATAGTAATCAAGAGTTAAGTGTAAGAATTTCTAGAATAATGTACTGTATATGAAACTAATCATTCTGACATTTGTATATTTCATCAAAATATTCAGTTCAATAGACCATTACTACTGAATAGGTTTGTCAGCCACTCTCACATTGTTATTGTAGTCAAAATAAAACTAGAAGATTCCATTCTCAATGAAATGAACTCATCAACCTGGGACTACCAGTCGATAAAATTCTAATGATTTACTAATCAATATTCAAACAGCTAATCTTGTAGAGTCACCATTTTTCTAAAGGATTCAATGGCTGTTCAATACATACAACTGCATCTTTTGAAATACGACCTAGGTGGCCTTGATGTAAAAGTCATTAAAAATGGACCAGAAGTTAAAATCAATATAGAGTTATATCCTGCTACATGTGTTAAGAGAGAATTCACAGCTGGGTATTAAACACATTATTTCAAATTTTAACTACAATACAGTATTCAGATTGCCTGAACATGCCTCACTGTCCAGACATAGCTGAAAACCATTACAATATCAATCAATACATTGGTACATAATATCACTAGCATCAGAAACATACTTAAACCAACATTAAACCAACTTATAAAATGAAATTTCTCTCAGTCTTAAGAAAGATCAATAAGATTAGTATGAATTAACATGTCATCCATCTTTAGATTGATCCCTTTTACTACACCTTACTATATCTGTTGGCAACATGAGATGAACTCTAACCAATTAGGTATGAGTCAAGTCTTTATATTGTTGAATATTCTGTTAAGTGAATTCGGTCATGTTCAGGGAATTCACTTAGCCTATTCATGTGCCTAAATATGTGTTGGAAGCATGATATGAGCTTAAGTCCATTAGAGAGAAGTCAAGAAGCTGTGCTCTGTAGATGAATTTAGCTTTTGACTTCTAGCTCATTGTATGCGGCCATATGAGCACCACCTCAAAATGAAGAACAAAACGAAAACCAAATTCAGATATAATATTATGTGCATTGACCCAACATAAAATGATATTAGTAATAAATTTTATGACTCAAGGAAGGACTCCAAAAGGACAGTCTTAGACAGACTTGAGTATTTCTAAAAGCACAGTCTTCAGACAGTCAAGTACAATAACAATTGAAACATGGAAAGATCACACTGTACATTATGAGTACTATAATCATTGTCTGAATACAGTCTTGTCTCTAGAAGTGTTTAATTATGAATGAAGTTTACTCAGTTTATGCCATTTCCGTCACATATATGTGTTAAATTGATGTTGTATTGTATCTGATCCAGTAGGCTAGTTTCTTGGCTTCAGAAATAAAAAAATTTCAATTTATGACCAGAAGAATCCCGATGAATAAAATATATTATTCAGTATCAGCTTACAAATTGATAACGCCCCAAAAAGTCTTTAGTCACACCTTTGCTTTACAAACCAAGATGTGATGTGTTAAAATGTCTACCAATTTCACTTGCACCTTACTGCAAATCCTTACTGTCTCTTATTTTTGGTCCAAATCCATATAATCAAACATGCCTGGTAAATGAAATGATTGTATTATCCATGATTCCATAAACCTTATCAAATTAAGTCTTCAGTGTACAAGTCTTTGTCCAGACTAAAAGAATGTGTCTGTCTAATAAAGGAGAATTATCCCTAAATTTCTGAAGAAACCACGTTTTATAATTATCTCGTTGTCAGGGAGTCCAGCCATGTTTAAATTCTGCAGGGTGGTTAAGATTCAGATCACTATGTGTTTATTAAAAGTATCCTTTTGTTCATGTTCAACAATTTAAATCTCAAGTTTGGGTTTTACATTTACACCAGCAAGTAATCTTTGCTTAATTTACTTCAATTGGTTGTATATTTTGCAAATAACCAATGATTTAAATATTTTCACCATTAGCCTTAATTCCAACTTGTAATTGACAACTATGAAAATTAAATACTTCAAAGTATGCCATGTAAATTTTTGTCCAATGCAAAACCTATGTCAATGTCCAGCCTAAAAATGTGCCAGTCCTTAAACTTTCATAGTTTATCAGAAACCTAAGTGCTGATAGAAAAAAACACAATGGCTGACAATGAGTTAAACCAATGTTGACAGTATACAACCTTTTTAAACCTAGGGCTGTGGAAAATCCATTAATATATTAGATTGAAGACAAAGAGCCATGTTCCTATTCAGACTTTTTTTTTATCTTAATGATTTCTTCAAGGTAAATGCTCATCAGTGTATCAGCACTGAGGCTTATTACTTTAATGTCAACAAGGAAGTGAGGATGAAAATTCCTAAGTGGTAACCAATGATGATGATTTTATAGATAAATATTCAAGCAGAAAATGTACTCATAACGGTCTACTTGGAATTTAAAAAATCTTTCTTTATATTTTGTTCACATATTATGACTTTTTCATGATGCAATCACTTCCGTCATGCTTAGAGAAGACAACACACTGGCTATTACATTGGTAGTATTTGTAAATTTAAGGAATCTGATATAAAGTCTTCATCATGTTGCCCTAAATACAACAAACCAGCATAAGTATTCCTCAGTGCTGCCAACTTCATTATCAAGTTATAATAAATCGTAATACAGACATCAGGAAAGGTCATGTTTTTTTTTCTACTGAATTTAATATGTCAAGAGCTAAATCATAAACCAATCAAATTAGTCTGCAAACTATAAGTTAGATAGATCCAAAATATTCATTAAAAACTTATGCAACATTTGCGATATTGATGTTTGAATTAAATAATTTCTTTAACAAAAAGTGTTAGCAATATGACCTTTCTAAATTATTCATCTAACCCCTGTTTAGGATAAATAGATTAACATTTCACACTTGATATTCTCAAAATTGCTGTAAAATTATAAAGAATTTTCATGTATTACTCAAATACAATAATCATTTTCACACTTTCTAATTGTCAAAAAGTAAAATCCATAAAATACAATTATTACATCTGCAGGTTGGTTTAGTTAGTTCAGTTAGAAGTGAGTTGACTTGTCATCTCCTTCAAAATTCAATGAAGATGGAAAAAATTTCAAAAGCCACTCACTAATATCATTTGATCAATTCAGAACTTCCAAACTTAACTATCCCTACTGCCTAATATTGAAACTTCAGTCTTACTAGTCTTTGAAAAACTGAACTTTACTAGGAATAATCTTTGGATTTAATTTGACCGACTGTAACCAATAATCTTGACCCTTTAGAATGTTTATGTTGCTTTAACTTAAAAACAAACTTCTACTGTGAAAAAAATGAAGACAATAAAAAGGTAATGACTGGGCTAGAAATGTGCTGATAACTGTTAAAGGAACAGTGAAGGGTACTCACTCTGCAGGTAGGTCTGCTGCTTCATCTTCCTGTCCTGGAACATCTACATGTATAAAAGCTGCCCTTTGAGTAATAGCTTCCATACAAGGGTTCTCTAAAAAGTGTATCCACATTGAATCTGTAAATGAAAAGAATTATAATTAGTTTTATCTTTTTTTATACACATTAATTTCACCTGCAGAGTGTGCTTGTACTTTCAGCAGTAACTGCTTGTACTTTCAGCAGTAACTGCTTGTACTTTCAGCAGTAACTGCTTGTACTTTCAGCAGTAACTGCTTGTACTTTCAGCAGTAACTGCTAGTACTTTCAGCAATAACTGCTTGTACCTTGTTTTTTTACCTTGTAAATGTTTTTTTGCTTTAGTGAATGCAGGGAAGAGTGTGTCCTCTACATTAAGAATGACCCACGATAAATCTCTCTCAGTGTAAATAAATTGTTAAGTTATAAAATAATTTTTCTTTTCTTTTTTAACATCTTTATCACATTCAATATTTGCTGCATTGGTTTGTTTCTCACATTAGTATGATCATTGGTATGATTGTCACAATGGCATATTGATTGCAATGATATATTTATAACAGGTTTATAGTAGGTTTTAACATCGATAACTTTGCAACTTAGGTGATTTTGCTATTTTTTTGTATACTTATTACATGGTTTCAATATTCATAAAGTGAAATTCAATATGTAAGTATCAAGTCAGATTTTTATATCACCAGTCAGTATTGATTTTTAAGGAAGAAATGTAACCATCAATATCTATAAAATAAAATGACCCTGAAACCTATCATTTTATACTAATTTTATATAATAATACAGTATTTAGATCATTCTACATAAACTATATCATGTCTATCTATTATCTATGTAATTACTATTTTTTTTTGTGAGCACACAATTATTGTTGATTAATATGTTTCTCAGTTCTAATCCACAAAATGTGATGATCAGACATTGCAGCTGTCAGTCTCTTTTTTCTTGCACATCATCATCAAGTTTTTCTCTTTCTCAAATAATATTAGATTGAAAAAAGATTATTCATGATTGACATTCACCCATAGTCTTCAAAGAATATTCATAGCTTACTAAAATAATTTCAATAACCCATGGCAATTGCTAAACTGAAAAATCCATGTCCTATTTGACTTTTAAAACTGCTTGAAAATGGATGGCAGGTTATCCAGACCTGATCTCTCAAGATCAAAGGTTGTCATGTATATATTCTGAGATATAGCAATTGTCTATATTTAATTGCATACAAACCAAAAGTTTTATTCTGAAAAGTGTTTTGGTTAGCTACTAACTAAGACAAGTTATTTTAACAGTAAAAAAGAAACACTTACGATTGCATCCTAAATCATGAACTGTAAGAATGACCACGTTCCTGTGTTTTAAATCTCCCTGAAAAATACAAATAACATTTCAAATTAAAGATAATGGCATTAACACAATATAAAAACACATTATAAAATATGTTTGTGATAGTCATGAGTAAAACATGATTTCCATTATTGAATCTTCTCACTATCAGTTGATATCTCTCATAACAATATTCTTTCTGATTTCAGTTAATCAACATCAATAGTGTTTATATACAATAAGATATATTATATATTGTATAGATACATCTTTTACAAGTTACAGTATGAGCTTCATACTTATACAATTCTGACATCAGTGTTTTACAGGAATGTGAACAATACCAGCACCTTTTTGGAGTTTTTTTCCTTCTTGTGCCATTTTTTTACAGATGCGTTAGATGTTGAATTTCACAGAATACATGGTATAGTTCAAAATCAATTATTTGTATGTGTCTTAATTTATAAAGATATGTACAGACAATATTTATGATGCTATGATATACAATGGAATTTTTATAAATGTGTGTATGTATGTGAATGAATACATATATATTTGATGTAATTGAAACTATATGTAAGTATATATTAAACATTAAAGCATTTGATAGTTTGAACATAAGACGTATCATGATTAGTCAAACTGGAAAGATAAATCCTGACAACTACATTATAAAAATTACTTTTAAAACTGACTTGAAAGTGAGAAGATCAGTTATTCATCAATTCAATTAGATCTTATGATTTTCACATTAAGTCAAAGATATAACATCATCTAAATAATTAGTTCTCTCTGTAAGAAGTTAATATGAATTTAAGTTGCCATAAATTACTTCATCTTTATCATAAAAACATGATTTTAGTGACAGTAGGCCTACATGCAGCCCTGTCGTTAGGGTGGAATTTCTGGGGGCTGGTCCCCAGCAAGTAATAATTAAGCTCCTGCAAAACCTTCAGTTCAGCAGAGATTAATTCATTTACAGTGTCTTTGTACAAAATCAAAAAGATAAAGATTTTAATATGTTTTCGCAACTCAACATTGCCAGAAATCAGTTCTTTGGGCCTTAAATTCTACAGAATCTAAGCCCCAGCACCAAATCATTCCTGGCGACAGGGCTGAGTACAAGTATATACAATGTAAAGGATTTTAAAAAAAATGGGGTCTGAAGACATTGATTGTATCATATTTACAATAGTCAGTCAAAGTAATGTTTTTAAATCATATCTTTTTGTTGAAATAAAGTCATTGCTTCTGTCAAAAGAAGACAGCAAACTTATACCATTCAGAGGTCAGTCTACCTTGCAACAGACAGAATCTAAAGGTGAATTATCAGTGACTGTTTCAAAAGAAAACATTCAAGAGAATCTTACCAATTGATTAAGATTAACTTACTGAACTGAGGAATGAAAATTTGAAATTTCTGCCAGTTGCCAATAGTTGCTTATGTTGTACTCTCTTGAAGAAACTTGATCTAGTTCAGTGTGAATCATCTAGTAGATCATAGTAGCCATCAGTCAGTTAATTTGTCAATAAATGCTAAAAATCCATGATGACTTCCATGGAGACTCTGTTTAGATTCAATAGCAACCTATCTAATACTTGTGGACTGTGACTGCAAACCAAATTTATGCAATGTTACTTTATCTATCTCATTCTGAATATCATCATATTATTATCATTATTAAGAAGTTCATAAAGTTCACATTCTAGCCTACAAACTGGCCGACTTCCATTAAAATCTATATTTAAAGGTAAACAACAAGACACCTACACATAGTATAAAATTATAATTAGCAAGTTTTCTAAAAGTTTGGAATTTGATACTAATGAGTAAATGAAGGCATTTTTTCTATGACCTTCATGTAAAAAAGAAAACAATTATCTCACAATGGGTAGAGTAGTTGAAAACTTATATTACTGCCAATATTTTTAAACATAAACCTTCTTGTGAATGAAGAATGCCAAGAAATATGGGCCATACTTATTTATTACAAATTATAAACTCAATGAGAAAACAAGGGCATAGCACAGAACTTGTAAATTTCAATTGTTTTCACAATGACCACATTTTGAATGAGTGTGAAATAAAGTCGAAACGTCTTCCACTCTTCCACTCTACATGATGTATGCCTATTGGTCATCCTATTTTTCAAGACAAAACTAAAATGAAACCGAAGAAAAATATCTTTAACTTTAACTTCCAGCATTCACTCTCCTGTTAATATGTTCAGGAGATTTATACCCTATCCTACGGAGCCCCTAAGGCGCAATTGTAAACATATTTATTTATTATTTCGTTTAAACGAAATAAAAAGATGGGTTAATTATTTCGTTTAAATGAAATAGACAAAAAAATTAATTTGTTTAAACGAAATAATAATTTGTTTAAATGAAATAATAATAAAAAGTGTTGAAAATTGCCACTCTACATGACGTAGGCCTATTGGTCATCCTATTTTTCAAGACAAAACTAAAATGAAACTGAAGAAAAAAAAAGCATTCAACCTCCTGTTAATATGTTCAGAAGATTTATACCCTATCCAGTACCTCCAAGCTAATAATTCTTTTTGGAGATAAAAATGGCTCTTCAATTTGGAAGGTAATTTATAATCAGACAACTTTTCATCAGTTAATATTGTAACTGTCTGCTACACTGGAATATAGTATTTATCAATAGTGTTGACAAATCATTATGGACCACATTTCTTCACTATAAGGTATTATTATATCATGCAATTATAGAAATAGAAATATTAAAACCGAACCTAAAATAACATGTTATTACTCAGAGTTTCACAATATGCAATCTTCACTGACCTATTTCAGCCTGGTGCAATTATATATAGATTTATTATATTATTTACATTAGTTACAACACTTATAACAGCTTATAACCCTATTGTATTGTATATATTAATGTAATAAAACTAACCAATGTATGTGCTAACTTGCCCAATAACCTTGAGGTCTACATTGGATTTCAGCACTGGTCAAGATAGCACCAAAATTTATTTCAAATTACATTCCTCCTGCCATTGATGCAGGTAAGAGGGTCAGATATCATATAACATTTCAGACTTTAGATGGGGCAATAAATTTGGCCTCATGTGCACATCAAAGATCTTTCAAGAGTAGGCAAAATGCCAAATCTCTATTTACAAACTGTTTTAGGACCATTCATTGACCAATCAGTAGCTGCAAAGTAGGACAAGAAACATATTTTTGACAATTTAATAACAGTTTAGAGAGATTGACCAGAGGACATTATGATGTGTTTACAATGTGTAACCAAACCTTCTATTTACTACCCTGATCTCATAGTTTAATAATGCATCTTAGATGTCTATGAATGGACCTCCACAAGCATTGAATGTTTCCCTGGGCAGGATTTAATTAGGAGGAATAAATGTCTAAAATGTCTGACACAGAATTTGCATAAACTTATATTCAGCCAAGTAAAACAATCACAAATGATGGATGCAGCTCAATTTTCATAGATAATCTAACTAATTGATTCCTCTAATAGACTAGCTGTAGGCCTGTGTAGGTGTATTTACAATACAATAAATCTTCTCTTACTAAAATATTACATTTCCTTTATTAATGTTAATGCTCTGGATCAATTCCATTTTCTGTAGATTTTAGCTCAGGAATACCAAATACAAAATTTGCTGAATGATGACAGTAACATATAATCTATAAGGTCCATAGCTTAGTAGGATATTGATTGAGATTTTTGTGGGGAGTTCATTTCCACAATGATGGTACAAATGCCCAACAAAGTATGGAGAAACAAGCACAAGCAATGATGCTCTAAATCTCCTCTAATTTTCTTAATATTGAGTAATTGGAAATATATTTTGAGCATAGTTCTTCCAAATTTGGTTAGATCCATTAATTCCTAACCATGATAAACCTGGAAACATTGAGGGTCCATGACAAAAATAAACTTGACCTATAAGTTATCTTATAAACTGATCAAATTCTAATGGATTGCTCAATAAAATGGTATGTTCAGATGAAAGACTCACTGGGCTATATTGAGATTTCTTATTGATGAGCTCGAACATTGAATTGAAACCAATCTATTTCTATATTTGGTAAAGAAAAATTGACAAAGATAGAGCAGACGCTATAAATAATTCACAGTATTGTATCTGTGGCATCTTTTGGCGGCAATCTTAATTTCACAAGTTGTTATTTTTTAACATGAATTGAATGATAAAGTTTTTGTCAAATTTGGACACATTAACACAAAATATTATGCCCAAGTGACCACTCAGGGTTGAAATTTCTAAACCACTGTCCTATACTGCCCAGGAAACAACTTACATATTTTTATTAGTTGAGGAATGACAATTGAAAAGATTTACAAGATTGGAGCCAACTGTAACACTGTAGACTAATTTTAACTGTTAAACTCTACTTTGAGCAATGAAAGGAAAAACCAAATAAATAATTCATCAAATGTAAAAACAAAAGTTAAAGCAGACACCTAGTTTGTCTAATAAAGGAAATAAAATCAATTGCTATACCCAATTAACTACTGGAAACATTTATCTATCATTCAATTCTATCAATAATAGATGTAGAACTGTTACAAAGAATCAATCTGGCTCAGATTGGACATAATTTTAAACCATACATGTACTATAAAGTTAGTAGTGCACTGTAATATAATATAGTCAGACCACAAATAACATCACAACAGACTCTTAGAAATTTTTCTTGTCTTGAAGAGGGTTCAAATCTACAGACTAAGTCTTGTCTATTCTTTCCTTGAAGAGGATTCAATCTGTCTTCTGTGGTCTTGTCTATTGTTTCCTTGAAGAGGATTCAATCTGGTATTGCCATTGAAGGAGATTCAAATTAATGTGGTCTTTACTTAGTGGACAGTGTATATTTCAAGCCTTTTAAGCAAAAGTATATCAACGGGTCTCTTGTTTTAAATAAGAACCTGAATTCTTATTGATCATGATGATTAGAACAGGATAGCAAAACTTGAGAAAAACAGGTTATAACACAACTTGTCAAGGTTACAA